TATTGACTACCACGAGACGTCTAGAAACAAAATAAATTTTTTAATGAACTGAAAAGAAATAACCTTTATTTATTTTTAAACCTTTTATGCTCTTAACCTTTTATTTTTATTTTTTATATTGCCATATTTTATCCAATACGTTCCTTTAGATATCTTTTTACTTCTTTTTCCTTATAGCTTTGTGAAGCACCTTGAGATGACGTTTGTCTTTTAAAGTGTGCTATATAAATCAAATGTATTATTATTATTATTATTATTATTATTATTATTATTATATAATGCATTGAGAAAGTACTGATCACATTATAAAAATCAAATAGATATTTTGCTTTCCTGATCGTGTACCTCCATTAGGCTTTAGTGCTCACACAGTTTAGTTGCCCCGGGCTACCTTTAGTGCCCTGCCTTGCTGTATTGATGCCATACTTCTTCAGTTTGAATTAACTCATGTGTTGTTATTACTACTCTCCATGAGAATACCTTATTTGTTTGTTAAAGGAATACACGCAGTCTGTCTCCAGGAATAATCTTCTTAACTGTTTGAGGACTGCAGAGGTGGCCTACGTGTTTTGTCATGTCACGTTAACAACCTTAAAGTCACCTCATCGTCGTTTTCAGAGATTAAAGAAATCTGGTTTCAATTCACCCCGGCCTGAACTCTTACACAGTCTCACGCTCAGCTGTCAGGCCTGATGGAGGACTCTCTTCTCTACATTTAATTTGTACAGGACTGTATCTCACTGCTATGTTCCAAAGAAAATATCCCAGCTTAATATGAGATGTTTTTCCACAAGTCACAGGAGGTTAAATAAATCACATCCTCGAAGATAAATAAAAAAGACTAATTAAAATTGGCTTGTTGGTTAATCTACACACATTTTTTTCCAAGATGAATAATTTCTTCTAATACATCATGACTTTGAAATGGTCGTTATTAATGTCATATGGTTAGTTGTTTTTGGGCAGTGTGTACACCCTAACAACCTGCACTCTGTAAAAAAAAAATTATATATGTATATTTTAGTTATTTTTTCTTGTACTTCCATACCGGTTAGGTGTATTTTTTTGCTTGCTTAATTTGCTCTAAATTCCTTTCGTATTGTTGTGATTTATTTCTTGTTAAATGATGAAGATACTGTTAATTGGCTCGTGTTATCTCAGGTTGCAGGGCTTTAACCTCTCTCAGCCACCATAAATAAATACAAGTTGTTATAAAAAAAGTAAAATATAAACAGCTGTCTGCTCGATTTATCCCAGAAGTCATACATTCTATTCACACTTGATACCTGGCTTTCTAAAATTCAGCCTCCCTCTTGAGAATAAAAGCAATTCCATATTCCTGTAAATGTCAAATGAATAATGTGCAAGCTTTAATACAGCAGGTATTTCATCCTTGCTTTAACTTCATGAATAAATATAATTATTTTCATTTCCTTGTCTCCCTCTCAGGTATGGAGCCCAGCCATTGAGCCTCAGTAAACTGGTTCCTCATCTCTGCACGTTGACTGGAGACCAGAACCCACAGGTAAGAGACGCATCACTTCAGCATTATAATTAGGGGTGTAACGCTTCACAAACATTTCGGTTCGGTACGTAGTGTAACTCGGTTTTTAGCTCACGATTCGGTACGTTTTCGGTACAGCTGAAAAAATGATCACAAAACATAAAATATTTTTTGGGGTTTTTTAATTATTATTAAACTGTGAATAATGTATTCACTCAAATAAATACAAAATATAATATGAATCAACATTAAGGTGCAGCATTTCGATGAACTGAAATAATCTGTACTGAACTAGTACTCACCTAAGCAGCCAGCTTGACATTAGGACTTGCTTGCTTGCCGAAAGGGCAGATCTGCTGGCACTAACAATGTCTCCTGCTGTGGAGAACACCCTCTCGCTAGGGACAGAGGTAGCAGATACAGCCAGGTAGCGCTTTGCTAACATGGCAACATAAGGATATTTGGCGTTTGTAATAGCTTTGGCTCGGTCTGAACTTTTTGCGAGTGGTGGAGGCTTAACTGCTAGTGGGAGTTGGGTTTGCACTTCAGTCTTTTTTCTTTTGGTACCGGTGATATTCATGTTCGGGTGATGCCTTTTCAAATTAGTGTGCAAGTTTGATGTATTGCCAGCCGCGTAACCAATTTTAGTCGAACAATGCCGACAAACAGCTTTGGTTCGGTCCACCTGTCTTTGTCCGTCATCCTTGTACGTAACTGCGAAACCAAAATGTTCCCAAATCGGAGACTTCAATGATGCTGGAGGATTTTCGAGCTCAACTTTATCTGCTTTCGCCAGTTCCTCAAATTACTGACTAAATTTGAACACATCCCTGTGAGCAGCTCTCATAGTATGCCTCTCGTCCAATGAAATGACTTGGTCGCTCGATGATGCGTTGAACCCAATGTGAGCAAATTACTCTGAACGCTGCGACGCAGCACCTGAGATTACTTCCAAAAAGTTGTTCACGTTCTCAATTTTTTACGTTTAACGTTATATTCGTTCGGTACACACGTGTACCGGTACACACGTGTACCGAACCGAAGGGCCAATACTGAATATTTTCGATACGTATACCGTTACACCCCTAATTATAATATATAATCTGCTTACATATCTGCTTGTACTTTATGGGTAGAGAATGGGTAGAGAAATGTTTCTTCCTTGTACCAGTCCGTAGCTAAGCTTGTGGTTTAGCTCTCAGCCTCCAGAGTGTGATTATTACTGTTATTAGAGCAGATGGGCTCTGTAGAGCACTAACACCCAACCATTAACACACACACACACGCGCACACACACATACTCACACAGAGAGTACTTGCTGAATATGTGTGTGAGGGAGAGTGAGGGGATGGTTTTATATCTCCTGTGGAGTTGCACCCCAAAACTGAAATCTGCTCTTCTCCTATACCCAATGATTATCTACCCACATTCTGTCCCGACCAATCAACATCTTCAGCAGTCTTCGCCCACCCTCAGTTGCAGAGTGTCCCTTTTACAGCATCCCAGCACCAAACCACTACAGTGCTCACAAAAAAACTAGCAAATCCGATGTCTCCCATTAGGGGGATTAGTGCAGGCCCTTAAGGTTTTGTTTTTTAATCTCTTTTGTAATCTCTCTTTTGTGCGTGTAACCCCGCACAGTAAAGCACGAGGGTAATCTGTATGCAATTTGACCATATTTGCAAGAAACACAGCATTTTAGATGGTATACCAGTGCAAGTTTTCAATGCATTGTTATTACAACCGCAGGCAATACAAAAGGATAAACTAGCAATAAGAAAGGAATGAAAAAACAAATACATTTTCATGACAGGAAAAGGAGTAGGTAATATCTTGTACCTGAAGTAAAATCCCTCAGCCTTGTTTTGTATCTCCAAAAAAGGACATAACACAATTCTATAAGCACCCGGAGAGGGAGATGTAAGGGGGAACAAATCAAATGCTTGTAGCAGTTACGCTTCCCACAGTTGCACATCTTTTTGTAGGTCTTTTAAATTGCATAACGTCTGCTGTCTGTAGGTACGCGAGGCCTCCATAGCAGCACTGGTGGATGTTTATCGTCACGTTGGAGAGAGGGTCCGAGCAGACCTGGGAAAGAGAGGACTGCCCGCTGCAAGGTGAGTTATTTTGAACATGTCAGCTATATAGATAGGCTCCTGCATTGTGAGCACCCGTTTTTCTACTTGTTTGTTTGGGGGGGGAGTTGTGTGGAGGGTCTGTGGGTCCCGTGGCCCTGGCATTCGCTCTGTTCCAGGCCACACCATGCACCACTCTGCCCTTCACACACACAGAGAGACACTTTCATCCAGAGCACAATGCTGACTGACCGGGGGAGGAGGGTGGGAGTGGGCAGATGGGGCACAAAGGCGTTGGGTGGAGTAACAGAATTTGTGAAAAATTGCAGAAAGTCTGTGTGTGACTGTGTTAAGGTCCATTGAGAGGTTTCGTCCTTCTTTGGTCGTCCCGGTTACATGTGCTGGTTTGAGGGTTATTCTAAGCACACAGTGACCCCTTCTCTCTCCCCCCCCCCCCCCACCTCTCTCTCTCTCTCTCTCTCTCTCTCTCTCCCCCTGTGTGAGACCTGATCAGCAGCCAGGGTTGTGTGCTGACTGCTCAGTATGAGTCTTGTGTCTGTGAATGCTGGCTGTGGCCATGTGTCATGTGTTGTGCATATTAAGCCTGTTTGTCTCCAGTATCAACACGCCTTCTGTTCATGTGGGATTCATACAGCCTGTTGTTTGTCTGTTATGTTGAGGTCTCACAGATGTGCAGATTACAGTTCGATACCAATACTTCTTCTGTGGAAGTGTGCCGTTAACATTAAAACATTACAAATATGCATTGATTTTAACTTTAATTGGGGTTAGCCCACATTTATTTCTTGATACTGTATTCACTATTAGTATCAGAGCACTGTTTGTAGGTACATGGTTGCAGGGTTTAATTAAGGTCTGCAGCCAAGGTCTTGCCAACCAGATCACATATCAACTCTGCAGAGCTGTTATCAGATAATGGAGAGAAAGTGGAAGTTGTGACAAGAGGTAGAAAGTTGGAAAGCGCATTGGAGAAGGCAGAATGGATAAAAGTAGCAAATGACAAGATATAAGCCAAGTTTCCCAACACAAGGTTAGCCCGCATGAAATCCTTGATGTGTGTGGCTTATAGCAGTTTGTGTCACATGCATTATTGATGGGACATTTTTGGTTTAAGTATCCCTTTGTTATGCCCTTTAATTAGGAAAAGAGCCCCCCTTTGTATCCAAGCCTACAGCCCTAAATTACATACATAATGTATTTGTTTTATTGATATGAAAAATATGTTTACACTAACCCAAATAATTGTAATAAAGAAACATTTTGTAATGCACTGCAGGACAACCTTAAGGTCAATCCACATTGTCAGAAGTGTTTTTTATGTCTTCCAGTAATGTAGTAATCTACACTGACCCCCAAACACCCTCCATGCTTTTGTTACCCTTAGACTTAGGCTGTCAGCTTGCAGGGTTCACTATCTGGTATATTCTGGCATAGGCTATAGGCAAGATAAAAAGATTAATCAATTCATAAGTAAAAACAATGGCAATTTGAATCTATATGAATAACATCGTGACTGGCAGTCAGAGTTGCTCTACATTGAATGGACCAAGCTCTTTAGCAGCGCTTAAGGGGCCACTCATGTCTCTCGCTTTTAATGTCCCATCACGAGTTGTACCTCTTTTGTTTGTTATTGTTATTGGTCTATAGTATGTGTGGGTCGTTCTGCCTGGATGCTCCTGATTTGTAATGCCTGGTAATAAAGGTTTAAGATGTAGTTTACTATCAAAATCAAGGAATGGTTTTACCCCAAATTAGCTTCTTCCCTAATTCAGGTCCCAGACTGTTAAGAACAGGATTGTTGAGAGTTTGATTAAATCATTCAGGTCAGTTCATCTGGTCAGTGTTCTGCACCTCGGATGAGATCACTCGCCCTACAGTGAACCCGATTACTCCTCTTAGACTGACAGTGACTCGGGTTAACCCTGCTCTGGCTGTCAGCCTGAGTGGGTCAGCAAGTATTATCTGACCCAGCTCCTTCTGTCCTGCTTTGAATGTAGGTCAGACATTACCTGGATTTCTTTGTGCATGTTTCTGTTACAGGTGACGAAACGTACTAAAATGTAACTGGTAGTGATTCGTACGGAAGTCCTATTCTAGATTTGAGTCCATTGTTAATGGTACACTACATGGGAATAACCTTGGAAAGCTGTCTCCTATTAATAGGTCCGATGCTGATTGATCAATGATTATTCTATAGGCCTGCTTCACGCATATTTCTTGTTCGAGAGTGAAATGATCTACCTGACAGGTGTTCTGAAGTCTGCTTGATTCGAGTGCAAGCTTTTTAATGACAGATGACCTGTGCCCAACACAGATTGATATTTCAGTGTGAAAATGGGATGCTGGAATCAAAAGATGTGAGGAGGGAGGTTTAAGTAGAAAAGATAAATAGAAAGGAGGGAGGGAAGGCAAGGGTTGGAGAAGGAGAGACATGGAGGGGGGAGGATAAGCACCGCTTTCTATCTGCCGCTAGCTGTGCAGCCCCTCCCCCTCTGACGAGTGTTTATATGTGTGTGTGTCTGGGTATGGGAGGGAGGTTATGTAAAGGGTAACTGAATCTCTTCTCTGCCTGTCACATAAACTGGCCTGTTTGTCTCTCTGACACACACATGCACGCAGAGACCCCGTCTGAGATTTAACCATTTGTACCGCTGTGGACATTTCTCAGTGTGTGCGTGCTCAGGATACAGTAGGTGGTGCTTTGTCCTATGCCCATAGCATGCTTTGCTCTTTCCTTTTTTTGGCTCCTTCTCTCTCTCTCTCACGCCGTCGCTCCCTCCTCCCGTCTTCCACCCTCCCTCCCCTCTCGGAGCCACTGCACCATGTTGGATACAAAGAGCTGAGGGAAGTCGAGGACCAGAGTGTGTCACTAGCATGGGAGCTAACGCTACGTTGCGCAGCAACCTATTAAATAGTCCTCTGGGAAATACTGAGGCAAATGAGTATTGAAGACTTAAGGCTGGGCTATTTCTGAACTGAATAGACATACTAATGAAAGAAAAGGAGCCACGTGAGAGGACTACACATCAGAGGAGCACCTCGCAACGTTAATTGTCACTTGTCTTGAGCTGTTAAGCTTTCCTTTAGTTGTGGACCTGCACCGAGACAGCAAAAGACAAACAGACAGAACGAGGACGGTGTGTATGACGCTTATTCCTGTGTGCTGACATCCATGGCTAACCTTTAACAAGGAGACATGAGGGCATGTTACTTGACGTTGTGTCTGTGTTATTATCCTACCATTCATTTATGTGCTGGAAAGGTTTGAGGTTATTATTTGTGCTATTATTTGATATTTGCTGGACTGTGATCTGGAAAGACCTTACAGTATTAACATGCAGAGAATCTTACATGTGTCGCACATGACTGAGCAGACCTGGCTCGGCATTGCGTTTGTTTTTATGTGTTTAGTGCTGAGCAGGATGTTGAAAGGACTCGTGTCGTGTTGCTGCTGAAGCCTCATGTGTGTGATGTAGACACACCCACCCTCAGATAGACAGGCAGACAGATTGATAGGCAGACGGGCGGGTAGTCCACATGTTGCTGCTGATCATACCTTCACTTGAAATTCACAGCACATGCCTGTCTGTGTCTATGTCAAAAATGTGCGTGCAGCCATCTGTGTGTGCTCCCTTGTCATGACTCTGACTTGAGATGATGTGTAAGGTTTTATAATTCAGTATCATTGTGATATATCCAATTTAGGGGTGAGGGATTATTCAATGATGATGATTTATCAGCTTTTAATGTAATTCTATTGCAATTAATTCCTATACACAATTACACCCTATTATAGATTATAAATTCATATATTAACCAAAAATGTGTTAGGAAATTAGATGTTGGATCATCACAATATTGCAGTTCAGTGCTTGAACCCGGATTCAAGCCGGAATCCGGGTTAATCTCATTATTGTCCTAATCTTAGTACTCCGTATGTAGTATGTGCATGCACGTGAAACAGTCAATGTATAGCTGAAAATATATATATTTTTTTATACTTACATTCTACGTGAATCTGTTATGTTCATTTTGCATTAAAGTTCACTGTAAATGAGAAACTACCCTGTACTTTTCAAGGATTTAATTCACAAGAGTTTAAGCACATGGTCATTAAACTATTTGTTTATTGAATTACCACAAAACATACTATATGCGATATATATTGTTATCGAGATTACCTATATCGGTATAGAAGCTTTTAGCCATACTACCCAGCCCTATTACAATTCTGCAATTATAGTTTTTGATAAGCTATGTTGGTATCTTTGGCTGCCAAGGCACACA